GAAGGGAGGGAAATGCACGGGACTATGGTGGTGGCACAGGGGTGATTTGGTGATGGGAAACCCGTGGGGATTACAATTGAGATGAAAAAAAAATGTGAAAAATGATGTAAAAATAAACTTTTTAATAAAAAAAAATAGTTTCTTTAGAACACATTTATAGGAACAAAAAAAATCAGATTAATAATAAATGAATACAAGTCATTTTGTTCCTCATAACACTAAGCACACAGCAGACATCCAGTAAGTATATGCTGAATGACTGAATTCTTTCGAAATTAAGAGTTGTTGGAAAAAATGAATGAACTAAATTCATTTGGTCCCATCACCTGCCCATTACTCAAAAACAAGACAACTCTAACACATGACAGACTCCAATAATAATCTTCAATGCCACATTCAAAATCTGATTAAACAAAACACAGATGTACACATGATTTCTTCACCTGTTTTTTAAAGAAAATCATTTCTATTCGTATAATTCTTAAAAAGCAAGATAAGTTCAAAAACTACTACCAAGGAAAAGGTATCTAACACTTACCTCTGTGTAGTGAGGAGGAACAGAATGAAAATCAGTAGGAAATAGGCATTCCAAAAGTTCCATTTGCCCAATGGACAGGTCAGTATTAAAATACCGGGAAGCTGCTCTCCGTCTTTGTTCATAGGATACTTTGATGCCAGTACCTATAAATCTGTTATTAAAAATGCAGCACTTAAAAATCTTCATATACTTGTAGATTAAATAACTTGTCAACGAAGAGTACACAATATTAATAAAGTATTATTCACTATTCTGACAAGTTGTTACTAAAAACTAGTATTTCTTTTTCTCATTTATTTACAGAATTTTAAACTATCACTCATTTTTGTACAAGTTTGATTTCTCCTCCCAGGTATGATCTCCATAAAATTCCCACCATTAAGTCAACGGTGAATTGTTACCCTAGTCTCTGTATTCCTCCCTATTCTGTAAAACCTAGTATTTCTAAGGAGAGAGTTTAACCAGGATGACTGATTCAAATTTCCCATTCCCTGACAGAAACTAAAGAAATCAGTTGCAGATAGCAAATTATCCAGAATCAATTGATTTCCCAACAGTTCCCTTTCTTCTTTCATACTTTGAAATCTAAACTGCATAAAATTTTTAAAATCCACAAAACGTAATAATTTCTAAAATTATCTAGAAGCATCTCACAATTTTTAAAAACTTCAATCAATGGAGGTCAAATGAGGGCCTACATCTAATTTTTGTTGTTTATTTCCTACTTGCAGGTATTTGAAAACTTGTCAAAACTGGTAAGAAAAATAATGTTTTTACAGTATGACTATAAATACTGTCACTAACCTATAGAGTGTTTTTTTTTCTTTTTTGGTAGTATGAAAACTATTTTGCATATGAAAACTATTTGCCTTTTAAAATTTAAAAAAGATAAAGGTTAAAAAAAGCCCAAATGATTTTCTAAAGATATTAATATATGTGTCTAAACCATTGTATAAAGTAACTTATGACTGTTTCATGGGTTACTTTCATGTTCAAATAACAGTATTCTCACATTAATAATCTTATACTTACAAATACCATTATCTCCTCATCTACTAGTACTCAATCCATGAAAAAACATCACTAGCTATTTGGATAGTTTTTTAACTGAATCAATTTGAGATGTGATGATATGGAAATTTAAAAAGTATACAGTCTGCTACTTTGATATATCCATACACTGTAATATGATTGGATTGTGCAATAGTTTTACTTTTTTTTTTAATTTGTTTATTTATGCATACAGAACTGGGGTACAGACTAGAGGTGCAGGAGCAGTGAGAGGCTTCACCAGAGACAGAGTAGAGAGAAGAACAGGCTGACTGAGGAAGTACACTCTGAGAGGAGCAGCAGGCGGGTCAAGAGAGGTCTGCCACACCATGTGGGTCACCTCTGGGGCAGAGATCAAACTTATGCTGAAGTGGCTTTTGCTTCTTAGTGCTATGCTTTAACCCGCTGCACCACCTGGAAAGGCCCTTTACTAAATTTTTAAGCAAAAATTTTAAATGTAGCATCCAAGCTCAGAACTAGCCTTGGTATCATTTCCCACCCCAAAGCCAGTGGCATGCGGAATATTTCCATGTCCATTCTTAGTCCATTTTATTCTCATCCTCACTGCCATCTCTCCAAAGCCACAGGCACTAAAAACTATTTTTATGATTGTAGTGTCAGTGGGGATGATGGCAAAATGTAGTCAAACAAACCTGACATGAGCAGGGCAGGGAGCTAACAAAAAGTTTGAAAGCTCCAGATCACCTTGATCCCATATATGAATTGTTCTGCATGCCAAATAACTTAAATAAGTAAGTCTATGGTGAGTTTCTTTGGGCAGTGCAAGAAAGCCTTACTCATTGCATTAACTTACAAATAAAATGTGAATTAGAAAAGCAAATGGAGATGAGTGGGGGAGTAGATACTGAGGTCCACATTTAGTTCTTTTTCAGACTTAATAAATAAGATTGTTTACCGAAGATGATCGTGAGAGCAAGCTTCTGCAAATACTTCTCGGAACGACTTGAAATCTTCAGTTGAAAATCTTGCTGGATCAATCTTTTCTATACAAGTAAAGAAATCTATCGCCATAGACGTCAATGGATTAAGGTTCAATGATGTTTCAGGTGGGGATAAAGGATCAATGTGAAGCACAGAGACTGAGAAAGTTCCCACAGCCAGTCTGAAAATAAGTTCAGGTCTAGATTCATCCACTGAAACGGATCTAGAGGGGAGAGCTGAAATACGTGTGTTAAAATTATACACCTAAAGCATAATACAAACAATCCACCTTTGTCAAAATTCTAAAACCTTTATCCATGTATCAGTTGTAAAAATCAGGTGGTAGCAGTCTGAGAGGTGTAAAACAAATAAGATAAAGCAAAATGTTATCTTTCTGCATTTTATATCCGGGACCCTCCCCTGATACTTGAAGTATAAAAGAGATGCTATACTAGTGGAATGTACAAACAAAGCTTTGCTTTAAAAAAAAAAAACCATACCGAAAGAGTCAGAGATTAGTCAAAAACTGCTCACCAAATTTTTCATTAAGGCTCAATTAAATTTCTCAGAGAAGAAAACTAAGATTCTCTTTTCAAGAAAAATATAAAGTGAATCAAGAATCAGATGGCTGACTGAGACTCCTAAATTGCAATAATAATATGAAACATTGTACACGTCTCACTAAAAATATTTTGGTGTTTACACAAGTGAATGAGTATTTTAAAACACTTGAGAGCAAACTACTCAACCATGCTTTATTTTCTTTCTACCTCTGTTAAATGGACCATAGTGATGGGAAAAAAATTATGGGGAAAAAAAGGAGGTGAATGGTGATTTTTAAAAAGAAAATTTTTTGAAGTACTACATGTCTTTAAATTCCAGTGGAAAACACCAGCAAATGTCCTATTTACACTTACAAGTCTTCTGCAAAGATGCTGGGTGAGCTAGGTTGGATGGCAATGTTGACCCTCTTCCTGTCTGTTCTTTATGATGATCAAGGAAATCTCCCCATGTTGGCTGAAGCTATAAAACAATCTTTTTTAAGCTCCTGAATAAAATGCAAAGATTTAGAAATAACTTTTTAAAAAAAGAACAAAAACTAAGCAATACTTTACCACAGTAGTACTTAAAGGAGACCCTGCTGGGGTATTTGTGTAGGTGCTGGTTAATGATAATTCAAGGTCCATATTTGGTGGGTCCCCAAGAGGTGGAAGAGAAGAGAGACTGTGGGACATATCCATATCAGCCATGGAGAAGAACACTTCTTCTTCTGAGAGAAAGAAAACTTTTCAGTTGTACTTATAATCTCATGATTCACATCTTTAGAGGATATTAACATACGTTAATATAATACTCTTCCTTCATCTTTAGAGGATATTAACATATGTTAATATAATACTCTACTCTGGAAGGCAGCAAAGTTTTCAACGTTATGTTACTTTCAACAGAGTCATTTACTTGGGGCCAAGATACTAATGACATGGTAAAAACCACCTGAACATGGGTAAAGTTCAAATAATCCTACCGATGGCTTTTATTTAATCTACATATGATATGCAGTAATACATGGCATGTTTTTAAGTGCCATATAAAAATTTAGGAATTAAAGTTCAGATTAAGATATTACAAATATCTTACAAACTCATTTCACATGCCTCTACCCATTTCTTTAAAAAAAAAAAGGTTGAAAACATTATTTAGAGTCTATTTACTTCCTTCTTTCAGAAGGTTGTTTTACCCTAATGCACATTAAGTATGTAATACCCAAATTTCCTGAGGAAACTTAAAATTTTTAGTTTGGTTCAATATTCTCTACTTAAATTGATTATTATTTATGGTATTAGTGCTCATATACATTCTGAACAACTATAAATACAAGGTAAACCAGGTAAAGATTACATTTTCAGATAATTGATAAATTCATAAAGGCTCCTACTTAAAGGAATCTACTATAAATGGCGTGAATTTGGCAAAATGAATGACCACTTCTAATGTCTCTTCAATTTACATTTTTGTAAACTGACTTCCTGCAGGAGAAAAAAACCCTAATTTACAAAACACAATGACACAATCGAGAAAGGACTCCAGCCCAGTGCCAGCGCACACTGGAACTTGGGCTCTGGTCAACTTGCCAGCTCAAACTCCTCACAAGGTGGATCTTTGTTCTCTCATTAATGACTTCACTTTATAGTGGCCAAGAATAAGCTTACTTTGCTCTATCATGAAACTGTTATGATTCTGATGTCAACTTTTTGAGGTGCTTACCACGGCTAGAAGGTGTACGAGCCGTTTCTGCCTCATAAAAGCTTTGCTCTGAAGATGCACCCACCGGGAGAGAATCTTTTCTCAAGTAATACCGGTTTAATTCCATCTGAATTCGATATTCATCTTCCTGTTGCATGGGTCGATTTTTTCTCTCTTTATTAGTTAATCCCATTTTGTTAGAATTTTCTACAAGCATAAAAAAGAAAGCACAACAGTAATTAAATGTGGAGTCAGTTACTTATTTCTCTCCCCAAACCCACTATCTAAATACCATTAAGTTGATCCAGTGACAACTTAACAGTCAATACAAAGCCCTCTCTAGGTGACATCAACCAGAGATCTAAGCAGCTAGGCAGGAATCACAAAAAACTTATCTTTGCGAGATGAGGCACTAAAAATATTTTTAAATGCATGCTACTTACCATGTTCAATAATTGTTTTACTCAGTTGTGTGAGGCATTACCCCCAACCCAGGAAATAAATCGGATAGTTTTTAAAAAATTAAGAACATGACACAAATAACCATTTGAAAGAGCTAATCAAATTTAAATATTTAGGATTCCTATTTACAATATCACTCAAACTTCTTATATTCCTATATAATAGAAATTCCTATATAGAGAATTTCTCTATTTAACTAAAAAAATGTTAAAGAATGAAAAGTGCTATTTTACTTGCCTGGTCCAGCAATAGCTGCAAACATGTCCAGCAGCAGGTGAACCTGCCGTGGTGACAGGAATAGATGAACAGAGTCTATCTGCCCGTCAATGTCCAACTTCCAAAAGAAAAAAACAAAACTATTCAGGATAAACACTCCAAAGTCCCAGTATATTTTAACACACTGATGAATAATGATTATTTAATTTTAGATTTCATTTACTTAGATTCTCTCCACTACTTCACACAATCTCAATGGAAAGACTGAAAGGTCTCTAAACTATTGTTCAAAGAGGGAAAACCTTCCTGAGAAAGGTTTTGGTGGCAAAGCCAATGTCACACACTTTGGGTTTCTAAAGCCACCTGAGAATTTAAGGTGTCTGAAGAGGCCTTAAGACAGTCTCCAAGAAAGAAAGCAGTAGAAGTAGTCATTCCCATCGCTAGTTACAAAAAAAGAAGACTGGGTCATAATCCTTATAGCTTTATTCAAATCAAGAGTGAATGCAGTGAGAACCTGAGGATCTCACTCCTCAGCAGAGCACGCTGGGACCTTCTCTACCAGCAGCATCTCCAATGCCCACTGTAATTCACACAGCCCACTCTCTGGAGGGCACAGAGGGCCGCCACAGTAGAAATACTGATGGAAGAGGATGTTCATGTGGATTTTTCCCTTTTTTTCCAACTTTTTGCATATTCTTTATTCTAGAAATAAATGCCCCACCCCACTCTTATCTTAGTCCTATGGAATACACACTGACCAAAGCAACACCTCTATATTTACATCACATTCTAAAGAGACGAATACACCTGCCTTAACTTTTCTTTCATCTCTTACTTTTCATGCTAACATTAACTCCCATGTGATTTTATAATTTTAAAAACTAAAATTAAAGTAAATAAATCAGGACTTCTGATTCTAAAAACATAAATAAATTGCATGGTGACTTTGAGAAATTTCCTTGAACCAAGAATATAATAGAGCCCTCCCTGGTGGTGCAACCAATTAAAACAGCACTGTGAAACTAGCCACAGCCGTTTCAGCACAAGTTCGATCTCTGACCAAGGTTGACGACCCACATGGCACAACAGAACTCTCCTGACCCGCCCTTTGCTTCCCTCAGCAGTGTACTTCATCGGTCGGCCTGTCCTGCTCCCCACTCTGTCTCTGGTGAATCCTCTCACTGCCCCTGCACCTCTGGCCTATAACCCTGTTCTGTATGCATAAATGAAATTTTAAAAAAATCAATCATCTTGTTCAAAACACATAGATGGCTATTTTTATATATACATAAACATCTTTCACAATTTCTTTCTTTCCAAATTTCTTCTTTAAACTTCTAAATCTTATGACAGAGGTTCTTTAATAAATTCCTAGTTATCCAACTCGTGATTTTTGACTGGCTAGATAGAATGAGGGAGTGAATGCAGGAGGTAGCACTAAAACCTGAGCTACAGCAGAGGGTAAAGGCAGTTCTCATGTGAATTTTGCAACCTAAGGACAGAGAAACTAGCTGAGAGTAAAAATGCTAACCCAAGAATAGCAGGTACCCTAGAGACAGAATCTACATTAGCCCATCAGTGGGTCACTGCATAAATCAAATACTCAGTTAGATTTTGTTTTTTACCATAGAAAATAGAACAAATACTGGGCCCTCCCTGGTGGCACAGCAGGTTAAAGCACAGCACTTTAAAGCTTAAGCCACTTCCACATGAGTTGATCCCCGCCTGCCCTGGAGGAGATCCACATGGGAGGCAGACCTCTCCTGACCCGCCGGCTGCTCCCCTCAGCAGTGTACTTCGTTGATCTGCCTGTTCTGCACCGCACTCTGTCTCTGGTGAATTCTCTCACCTCTGCATCTCTGGCCTGTACCCCGGTTCTGTACGAATAAATAAATCTTAAAAAAAAAAAGGAAAATAGAACAAATACTGATACTGACCTTAGCTCCGGGAAGTACTTCATTCTGTTTCAATGTGAGACTCAATTCCAATTTACCAATCAGCCCTCCGATCTGCACTGGGTCAGAAGGCGCTAACTCTGGTAAATTTCTAGTTAGCTGTGGATGAGGTTCATAAACAATTTTGGGATTCCAGCTAGGTGACAACTTTGGCTCAGTTTCCTACAATAATGCAATAAGAAAAAAGTGATTCTTTAAAATACTTTAGTGTAAGTAAATTGAAATGAAAATAGAATGTCAATTTGGTAAGCATAAGATGTTTGACATAAAAAAACTTTATGATCGTACAGGGGATGATTAGTGTCAACAGCCAACATGAAACACAACAGCATATTAACACAACACCTTCATAATAAAAGCAAATCATATAAAAGAGCTTCATGAAAAAAGCACATTCTCTGTTTGGGTTATACCAATAAAATTTAATATTCTATAAGGAAACTGGCTAGCTAATAAAGAGATTTGATATTTTAAAAAAGAGAATTTGTGAATAGCCAAAACCCTCATGTCTAAGAAAAAACAAAATGGAGGCATTACAATCCCAAGCTTCAAGCTATACTACAAAGCCATAATAATCAAAACTGCATGGTACTGGAACAAGAATAGACATACAGACCAGTGGATTCGAATAGAAGACCCAGATATAAACCCACAAGTTTATGGACAGCTAATTTTTGACAAAGGAGCAAAGAAGATACAATGGAACAAAGAAAGTTTGTTCAGCAAATGGTGCTGGGGAAACTGGGAAGCTACATGCAAAAAAATGAAACTAGATCACTACCTCACCCAATTCACAAAAATCAACTCGAAGTGGATTGAAGACCTAGACCTAAGAACAGAAACCATAAAATACCTGAAAACAAAGATAGGCCAAACACTACATGACATACACTTCAGTGACATCTTTAAAGATAGAGCACCCAATGCCACAATAGTGAAGGCAAGGATAAATAGATGGGATTACAACAAGTTAAGGAACTTATGTACAGCAAAAGAGACATTACATAAAACAAACAGACAGCCCACTAATTGGAAAAACATTTTCTCACACAAAACCAGTAATAAAGGACTGATCACAAATATATATGGAGAACTGATGAAACTTAACAAAACTAAACAACCCCCTCAAAAAATGGGCAGAAGAGCTAAAAAGACACTTCTCCAAAGAGGAAATGCAGATGCCCAACAAACATGAAAAAATGTTCAACATCACTCGTAATGAGGGAGATGCAAATTAAAACCACAATGAGATACCACCTCACCCCAGTGAGAATGGCACATCTTCAAACAGCTAGCAACAACAAATGTTGGCGAGGATGTGGAGAAAAAGGAACTCTCCTGCACTGCTGGTGGGAATGCAAACTAGTACAACCACTATGGAAAACTGTTTGGAGGTTTGTCAAACTGCTTAACATGGAGCTTCCCTACAACCCAGCAATCCCACTCCTACGCATCTACCCAAAAGACACAAAAACACTGATTGAAAAAGATACCTGCACCCCCATGTTTACTGCTGCTTTATTTACAATTGGAAAAACATGGAAGCAGCCAAATGCCCAAAAGTAGATGACTGGATTAAAAGATGTGTTCCATATATACAATGGAATATTACTCAGCAACCAAAAAAGAGAACACATGTCTTTTGCAGCAAGTTGGATGGAGCTGGAAAAGATCATGCTTAGTGAGATAAGCCAGAAAGAGAAAGAAAAATACTGGATGGTTTCACTCATAGCAGGAGTATAATGGACCAGGCGAGAAAATAATAAGAATAATGAACAACCATATATCAGAGACATTTTGTGGGGGTGGAGTGGGATCAAAAACAGGGGAGAGAAGTGCACTGGGACTATGGTGATGGCACACGGGTGACTCGGTGATGGGAAACCCACGGCGATTACAATTGAGATGAAAAAAAAAATGTACAAAATGATGTAAAAATAAACTATTATATTATATATATAAAAAAGAAACAACCCAAAAAAGAGAGAATTTGATTTGTAAAATAATGTAAAAGATAAATTATGAAATTACTAGTTTGCAAAAGGTGAATTTTCAGAAGTTCACTATGTAAGATAAATGTAAACATTGCTTATTTTCTGCTTATACCACAAAGGGTTTTAGTTGCTAATATACCACTTTCCTCAAGACATAGTATTCAATGTTTATGAAATTAATACACAGAAAGCTGGCAGGCAGAAAATGCATCGGCCAGTTTTTTTATCCCTGAAACATAAGTCCTCATAACTAACATTAACGCCCAGATCAGATGGGAATTCATTAAAACATTATATTTTAATGTTATTTGACAGTCCTCATTTAAGCTTATAAAAAGTTATCTGACAGTCCTCATTTAAGCTTATAAAAAAAAATCTATGTATTCATTTTGTGTGTTTTGTTTTGCTTACCACTGGTGCAGTTGAACACACTGGGGAAGATTTTGCTGATGCAGAAAACTCATCCCAGAAGAGAGACACTCCAGAGAGCTGAAGTAACTTGTGAGCAAAAGCTGTGGGCTGATGTACATTAATTCCTGAGGACTCATCAGCAGTTTCATCACAGTATACAGTTCTGAAAGAGAAACAAAAGAGCATTTGCACAAGACCCCTAGAGAGACCCACATGCAATTATGAGAAATGCAGTGTTTTAAGTTAAAGGGATTTTTCAAGTGTCAGCAGTCCTTAAAAAATATAATGTGTCAGCACTACTCAGAGTTAACTACAGTAGTTATTTTCATGAAGAAACTTAATCCCAAGAAGAATAAATTTTTTTATTATTATTATTTTTTTTTTTTTTAAAGATTTATTTGTTCATACAGAACTGGGGTACAGGCCAGAGGCTCAGGGGCGGTGAGAGGCTTCACCAGAGACAGAGTGGGGAGCAGAACAGGCAGATCGAGGAAGTACACTGCTGAGGGAAGCAGTGGGCGGGTCAGGAGAGGTCTGGCTCGCCATGTGGTCTCCTCCGGGGCAAGAGGCAGGTGGGAATCGAACTCATGCGGAAGTGGCTTCAGATTCTCATTGCTGTGCTTTAACCCGCTGCGCCACCAGGGAGGGCCGTATTATTATTATTTTTTAAAAGATTTTATTTTATTTGTACATACAGAACTGGGGTACAGGCGAGAGGCTCAGGGGTGGTGAGAGGCTTCACCAGAGACAGAGCAGGGAGCAGAACAGGCAGATCTACAAAGTACACTGCTGAGGGAAAAAGCGGGCAGGTCAGGAGAGGTCTGCCACGCCATGTGGTCACCTCCGGAGCGGGCGGGAATCGAACTCATGCAGAAGTGGCTTTAGCTTCTCAGTACAGTGCTTTAACCCGCTGCGCCACAAGGGAGGGCCAAGAAGAATAATTTTATGAGGCTGCAAAATGTGGAGGGAAATTTACAATTTCCTGGAGTCAGCTCCAAGAAAAGAATTCCTGTGCTCCCTCACAACGTCTCTGGGTAGCAGTAAGAGTATCTGGCTTCCAATCACAAGTCTGATACAAATGGCAATTCTTGAGTTCTTAGGACTAGTCCATGAATTCATGAGACTAACCTTCAGTTTAAACCAATCTAGAACATAGCTCCAAATGCATGCAGGTTTAGATATTTTTAAATGTACCAATTAAGGCAATGTAGCTTCATTTCAAAGAATCATCAAGAAAACTGTTTTGCCATTGGCATGTTTGCTGAAAGACAGAAGCCACAACACATGTGCTTTAAATCTGGTACAGACCACCAATAATAAATGCAGGCCCAGACACAACAGAGGGTGTCTCCATCTCCTCTGACAGGTACAAAGCACATCTTTCTACTAATTCTGTTGGCCCTTCACCTGGCATCAGAACACAAGTGAAAAACAAGTCAACACTCAGTTGTGTCTACTTAGATCAATTCCTACTTCAATTTACTTACAGAGGTTCCAAGTGGGCATATACAGAAAATAAAAGTGAAGTATTTTTAAGGTCACTAAAAGCAACTCTTAAATTAGGCACAGCAAAGAAGGAAGGCTTTCACCTTAAGGAAACTGCCTGAACAGTGCATTGCTCATAAGACAAAACTCCAAGATTTTTGCCTTAAACTTAGTAGAACTCAAATATTCATTATTTCAATCTGATACTAATAGAGAATGACTTGCTTTGAATTCAACATAGTGTTATATATAATTATACCCCAGCTGACAGTTTGTGTTTTCATTAATAGGATTAAAATATAGCTTGTAAAGCCCTGCCAACCTCTAAAATTATGCCACACATTAATTCAGTATCATCACCTCCAATCTCCAAAAGTACCATGAACTCTAACTTGAAAGTCATACTAGATTTGTTTAGAAAAGCAAAAAATCAGGTCATTTGTTTGACCAGAGACCAGCAGAAGTAGTCTTACCTTTCTATTCGAATTTCAAGTGCAGTTCCAGTTTTGGAATTTTCTGGCACATGCTCAATTCTCAAGACAGTGTCTATAAAAGTGACTTTTACTCTTCTCAGTACTGGAATGAACAAACAGGTAGCCATCAACATGAAACATGACTGTAAATAAACCTTCTAATGAAAGGGGAAAAAATGTATTAATCCAATTAAGAAATAAAGTAAAAAGGTGAATTGCTTTGCCTTAAAAAATCCTTAAATCTCTTGTGTTTTGGAATAAATATTTTGCTTTATTGAGCACTTACCCCCTGTCCACCTTAGTAGAGAACTTGGGGCAATGACTAACACTATTGGAGATTTTAATCCCTCCATTATACATGATACAAATAGAACAAAATGCATGAAGGTGCAACCACCATAAAAACAAGCATGAATTAAACTGATACTGTTTTTTAAATAGCCTCAATTCTAAATTTCTGAAGTAAGAACAGTAGTTCTTTAAAAAAAAAAATCACTCCAGTGGATATTCTTACACTAGATTGGTAAATAATGGTACAGAATTTCTAAATCTAAAATTTTGGAAAATATTCAAGAATGTCAAACCTGTTTCAATGGTTTCCGCAAACTTTTCAAGCCCTTCAAATGGCTGGGATCCTTCTCCTTGTTCATCTGTTAGTTTCTGGCTGAGACATTCTTTTGCCAACTGCATACTGCTAGTCATGAAACTTGACCAATACATAGGCTCAGAACCAGTTGCTGCAGAAAACACCAATTAATCCTAAGTAATTTCTCAATTACAATCAATTCAGTTCTTACAATAACACATTTAAAATAGATCTGCTTCACCTTCCATGACATATGTAAAACCAGGGCCTTACCCAGAGATACAATATTTTAAAAATTGCTCCTGAGATTCAACAATAACTGGGGGTGGGGAGGAGGAAGTGGGGGACACACCCAGACCACTGAAAAAGTCCAGAGACATCTCTCAGTATATATTTTTGCCAAATGTTTATTCATAAATTCATTCAACAAGGAACTACCAAGTCACTTTACACACGTGTGGTACTGCTCTAACTCCGCTGAGCAGGCTTTGATAAACGATGTAAAGCGTCAGGTGGTACATATTTTAGGCTTTATGGCCACATGACCTCTCTATCACATCTCCTTAACTCTCTCAAGTTAGTGCAAAAGCAGCTGTAGAGAAAAATACACAAATAGTATGGCAGTGTCCTAATAAAACTATACTGACAAGAACAAGGTCTGCAAGTCTGAGTTAGCTAAAGGGGACAAAAAAAAAAAAATCATTGAACTCTGCCTTCAGAGAGCCGACACTAGAGCAGTAGTAAGATGTGACTAAAAAGAAAAGTTAGTAGGCAACTCTTGAATGCCAATAGAACACATTATAATAGCTAACAGAAGAGGTTAACTCTTCTAGTTCTGGGATTGATCAGAACTCTGACAGGGTAGCAGCAGCTGACCTGGGTTGTGGCAGATTAGTCTACACATTAAAAAACATCCTTGGAGGAAGAAACCCAGGAACTATAAAAAAATCCTTTCCAGATTTCCCCTTATGTGAGAATTCTACCATATTTCTTTACATTATTCAAAACAAACTGACAAGAGATCCACATTTATTATCTTCTAGATGGAATTTAAAAGTCTTTCCAGTGGAAGTTTTTAAAGGGCAGAATATTTTCCATAGAAAGTATGGTACCTACTCAATGAAAGTTAAAAGATAAAATATTCTTGTTAATCAAATACCAAAATATTAGTAAGATTTTCATGCAGATAATTAATTTTCACAGTAAACGTACAAAATCCTACTGACCATAATTTAAACTTTGGTGTTTTGGACAACACTTGGGATTATAATTTTTCAAGTATAGCTTTGTAAGTACCATTTGTCACTAAAAGAAGAAATTTAAGTTACAACTTTACTAGCTTGTAAAACACACACACACACACACACACACACACACACACACTTCAGTAGAGAAAAAGAAGATACCAGACAGAACAGTGGTTAAGAACAGAGACTCCAAAACCAGAATGCCTGGGTTCAGCTCCTGACTATCCACTTAACAAGCTAGGACCTTACACAAGGCATTAGCGGATATGTGCTTCAATTTCCTGTTGTCTAAAATGGAGATAAGAAAAAGTAACTACTTCAAAGCACTATCGTGTGGGTATTTGTAAATAATTAGAATAATTCCTGGCTGAGTTCAATCACTCCTGATGGTGGTGACTGTCAATTTTCTCCACTATAAGAAGTCACGTAAGTGACTGAAGTACACAGTAAGAAGTCACCGGAGATAGCCTGACACTGTCAAATATAGAGTTCCTTTTACCAAATGAAACAGCATTCACTGATAAGTCTTGCCTAATCAATTTTACCCTCACTTCTTTCTATGTTTACAAATAAGTATTATACTATAATGAAAATTTCTCCTTCCTCCTGTCTCCCTCATATATCTATTTATAATAATGTGGACTTAGGTTTTTTTTTAGTTTTGTGTCATCATTGTCACAGTTTTCTTTCAGACACTTGTGTTTTCCCAGATTTGGCCAACAGAAGCCCTTAAGGTCAACCCCATAACATTTCTCCATCAATATCTCAGTGTGTCCTTTTTCTCTGGCACAATACTTTGAATTTTTAAAATACAAGTCACTACAGATGGTTGGTAACCAATATTTAAGTAAACCAAATCACTTCTATGTTCCAGTTTCTGTGAGCAAGCAAGGTGAGAAATAAAGCTATCAGTAAGTACAGTCACACGCATCCTACCCTGACCCACCTTAGAATTTCATACACAGAAAATCTCACAAATGCATGCAAAGTCATCAATGCCAAATTTAAAACAATTCGAATACTTTCCCGATCTCTGGAGAATAAAAATAGAAATAGCAAACATCGAACACACCTACCTAGGCGAGGTCTCGGTCGGAAGACCATTTCTAACCCTCTCACTTCCAGTGCACAATTATCCTGCAGCAAGGAGCCCCATGGAACCGACAGAGAAATTGACTGTATGAATCCTTCAGTGACCTCTAAAGGTGCATCTGCTGACTCCAGGATCTCGTTGAGACACTAAGGAGAAAAACCAAGTGCATGTTGAAGTCACAAGAACTTGAAGTTATTAGCTCATTCAACAATGCTGAATATGCTTGAACATGTTTCAGGTGGTATGGATAAAAGTAAACAGGAACAAAGATAAAAATGACTCCCTGGGCCCTCCCTGGTGGCACCGCAGCAGGTTAAAGCACAGCACTAAGAAGCTTAAGCAACTTCTGCATGAATTCAATCCCAGCCTGCCCCGGAGGTGACCCCACATGGCGTGGCAGACCTCTCCTGACCCGCCTGCTGCTCCCCTCAGCAGTGTGCTTCATCCATCTGCCTGTTCTGCTCCCCACTCTGTCTGGTGAATCCTCTCACCCTCCACATCTCTGGCCTGTACTCCAGTTCTGTGTGAATAAATAAATAGATCTTTAAAAAAAAGAAGAAGCTAAAGTCACTTCAGCATGAGTTCGATCCCCGCCCCAAGAGGTGACCCACATGGCGCGGCAGACCTCTCCTGACCCACCTGCTGCTCCCCTCAGCAGTGTACTTCATCAGTCAGTCTGTTCTGCTCCCCACTCTGTCTCTGGTGAATCTTCTCACCACCCCTGCACCTCTGGCCTGCACCCCAGTTCTGTATGCATAAATAAATAAATCCTTAAAAAAAAATGACTCCCTGGTCTCACTAGACTTACAGGAAAGGTTACCTTGAAAGACACATGTAATCGCCTGAGTTGTATGACAAAGGAAACACACTATTCTATTTGAGTAGGAATGGAACCAAACCAGGAAATCCAAGGCAAGTCACCCCAGGCAGCGCCATTTGCTACTGAAGCGGAGACTGGGAGGCTGCTCACCAGGGAAAGTGACCCAGACAGAAACAACTGCATATGGAAGAAGTCAAAGAAAGCAGAGGTGAGCAAGTATGCACACACCCTGGGCCATAAAGTTCCTGAACGCCTGGGTGCAGGGAGCGGGCCAGGGATAAGGCCACACAAATATGGGTGAGTGGGGTCCGAAGAGATTTGTACAGCTGACCCTTGACAACAGGGTTTGAGCTGTGTGAGTCCACTTAGATGTGGACTTTTTTAACAAGTATTGGAAAGTTTTTAGATATTTGTGAAAAACAGACAAAACCATGTTGTCTAGAAATATCAAAAAAAGCTCAAAGGTTGTCATCATTGCATAAAACACATATAATCACCCATTTTATCATTTACTACCATAAAACATACACAAATTATAAAAAGCTAAAATTTATCAAAATTTACGCCGGCACTTACAGATTGCACACTGCACTGTTCACCACGAAGATGGAAAGAAAACGCCCACGACAACCCTAAGTGCCTAAAGTTACAGCTGCTCCTCTAATTCCCATCCACCTCAGGCTGCTGGAGTGAGCTCCAGGGGTGCAAGTCTCCATGAGGTGTGACGCTAGCCCTCTCCCTGCAATTCATCTCACCGGTGAAAATCAGAGTTATGCATGGTTATTCAGCGAGGGAGGAGGATCAGTATCCCAGCCCCCATGTTTGTCAAGAGGTAACTATAATTCATTAGAGAGCATGAAGCCACTGAGGGTTTTGGGCAAGGGCACCATGCATGGCAAGTCAGACTGTGTTAGTGGCAACTCCTGTTGCCAGAGAGAGCATTTATGGGAGGAAAGCAAAACTCATGCAAGAAGGTGGTTGCAGGTAAAGAAGGTAGAGAAACTGGCTTGGCAAAGACAAAGCCCCTGAGGACAGTTAGCAGTGGATGGGTCTTTGGTGTATCTTAGGAACAAACACAAGAAAGGATGACAGCCAGTCGGCCAGCCTGGGCAGCTGCTGACAGCAGGCCCTTTATTGAGAAAGAGAAGCAGCAGGTGGGGGGAGAGGAGTTCCGCTCCCCAGAGTATGCTGGGGAGCCATGGTCAGAGGCAAGGATAGAGTTCTGGTGAAAGGGGTTGAAAGAGGAGCCTGCAAAGTAAAGTATAAAAAAGCGAACCGCTATGGAAGGCCGGTCAAAAGTGCTGCAAGTACCAGAGAGACAAGGATGTGAAAAGGCGCTGTGACAGCACAACAAAAGCAGGCAGAAAATCAAGTATTTTTTCAAAGCCCACAATGTACCACAATAAATAAAATGGTAAATGTTAAGAAACTAGTTTTAGAGTCAACAATTCAAGAATTTAAACTATGCCATGCAAAAGGACGTCCCCAGTTTAAGATGTTTAAATCGGTCACACTTATAGCTGGTCTGATCTACGGGCAAAGCCCCCATGCCCTCTATCACTCATTCTGGAGCCCCAAGGTCTACTAGAGTAGCTATCAGTAGGCCAGAATTTTCAATCTACTTGGCCAGGTGATTCTCTGTTATCTGCTCGGGCAACATTTCCTCATGACTCTTCTAAGTACACCTATGTGATTCAATAGTTCCAGAGCCACCCGAGCTACTCAGCAAACAAGAGCCAGTTACCTTGGCACTGTCCTTCTGTTTAAGGACATTTTGCTTCCAATCATCATCAATGTTTCATGTGTATGACAGAAAATTAAAAGTAGCACTAACCTCTTTCTACAGCATTTGGCAACTGAAGATCGCTATTTATTTGTATTATACAGACCAGTACAGCACAAGTAACTAGGCAATAAACATTACTAAATTGAAATTAGGAGGCTTCAAGTTGCCAAACCATTAATTAACATCTAACTTCTTGGATGTACTGAATTTCTATAAGAAGTCTTCACCTTGTCTAGTTCACAGCGACATGCCCAGTACCTCAGTGGCAAATGCTAACAATCAATAAACATACTGAATCAATTAATGAAAAAGCTTCACTTTAAAGAATAAAAGTAAATTCACAATTTTAAAAAGTAAAAGAATGAGTCATCAAGTCCAACTTCCTACCAAAATAGAATTTCCTTCTTTCAACACTGCACTTCTGACCACTTCAAGGGTCAAAGAATTCATGAATAAGAGCCGGTTCCAGCTGAGGAATGGTTCCCATTTCCTTGCTTCTACTGACTCCCTACCACGTCAAGCCATTTCAAGACACCAGCCTCCACAGCGGAGTATATACGCAGACCTCAGCAGAGCACGTGGCCCACAGGGGCGTGCAAACAGACTGGACGTTCTATGTAAGTTTTCACATTGTTAGGCTTAAGTATGGTGCTAACATTTAATATACAAAGGGGCGCTGGCACTCTCATTGCGGCCTACAGACTAATACAAAGGAAAGGTCACACAGCCCCATAACAGGAGTAGAAGCCTTGGCTGCTGCTCGTTCCATGCTAACACTTGAGGACGTGTTCTATGTAACAACAGACCTTTAAAAAGCAGGATTTTGTAAACAGAAAGTGAGAATAACTTTCCAGCTTCCTGGATTTTCTTATGCTCAAGCATTTATGGGTTGAACTTAACAATGAAGCCATTTCCTTCCACACAGGAGCTTGAAGCGTCAACTATTTATATGAAAACAGATGGCTAACAGTGGTATATGCTACTTAACAGGTATATTCCCAAAAACAAAACTTACTTTATCTTTTCAAAGAAAAGGTATCACTTTAATAGTGAGTGACAACCTAATTACTGCTAAAAGGATACTCGTATTATGGGGAGAACATTTTGAAAGAGTATTTGGAAAATTTCCAGTGTTCCACTGGAACCATGTCTATTAAAAACTGTGGAACCAGTGTTAAGGAAACTCCTTTTTTAATTCATCACCCATATAGGTCATAAAAATTTGAAAACTTTTTATCTAAAAGTTTTCTCAAGTGCTTAAAAATGAGTTTTAAAAACAATCGTTATGTGTGTGTACATATGCATATATAGATATACACACATAGATGCAATGTCTTGTAACTTATTAGCAAGAACAGCAGATTGAGATCAAAAGAGGAATGTCACAGTCAATTTCAACATGATCTCAAGCACACTTGATGGTTGAGAACTGCAATAATAATGTTCCCAATGACCTACGCAGTCAGTCTTCCATTTAAATCTATGAGTACTTTGTATTTTTTTCCAGTAGTGAAAGTTGTTAAAATCAAGCATCAAAAAAAGTGAGCTTGGAATCAGAACTTTGAATAGTTATACCTAGCCGTCACATCAAGATTTATCGTTTAGCCAGTAACACTGCACACTTAATAACAAATAAGGGCACACAAGCAAGTGTTAACTGGGTGTTTTACCTGACATCACTGCTTTAGTTGGTCATATCACTTATCTTAAGGAGATCAATGATTCTGCCAACAATCCTGAAGTCAAACTGTAAACTTCAAATACCACCCTCTGATTTCCCATGAGGAGTGACTAGAACCACACAAATGAGAGTGCTGATCACAGTGCCCAAAATACAGATACTCGATTAACATTCGCTGTCCTTTCCTTGGCATTAAACTGTGTAATTAATGAGGAAATAATGGGCTTAGAAATGAGACATGTTTGAATCCTCTCTGTATCACTTGCTGGTTGTGAGATGTAAGGCAAATTTTTAACTCAATCTGTAAAATGGTAAACCTAACTTAGACTGTCAATGTAAAGTCACCAAAAAAAAAAAAAAAGCAGCTATTCAACCCACAAAAGACAATTATTAATGTTTAACCTGCCTCCTTCAAATAATCTATCCATAACTGTGCCAAAAGCATAGAATCATGGATCCCTGAATTCCAAAATATTCATCAGAGGGGCCTACCTGTGCTCTAAGAGTAAGTCTCAGGGATTCCCCTCTAACTAAGCCCTAAGTTCAATCTTCAGCCAGGAAGCTGACCCACATATGGAGCAGCAGACCTCTCCCGTCTCGCCTGCTGCTCCCCTCAGCAGTGTATTTCAGTAAATCAAAAATATCCATGAGAATCCCAGACTTCTGGTAAGAATTCTACCCTGACAGTGTCTAGCATGGAGTGTATACTCCACTGATGTTCACTATGCTCAAGTGAATTCTGTCCAATGTCATCTGGCTGCTTATGACTGACAACAGGGGCTACCTAAGTGTGAGAGTGGCTACCTGCCACTCAAACCAGGGCTCTTTCCACTGTCTCAAGTATTCTCCCTAGTTTGTCATCTTGCGGATAAAATTATGTGATTATTCATGCATTACAAATTAGTATAAGGATCACAGTTAGGTAGGAACATAATTCAAGCTTGTCAGGTTTCTATAGCTAAGGAAGTGGTTACTCCTAAAATACATTCACATAAAAGGGAAAAAAACACTTTTTACACTGCTTGAATGGGGAGGGGGATAAGATTTCCTTTCGCTGTGTAAAATTATGCCAAGAAAGTTACCTATAATTGTGATTTTCCTAAATGTAAACTACGTGTAATACTGCTTTTAGAACAGTAAAATTCCAAATTGGTACAAATGATTCAAGCTGTAAGCAGCAAAATATGAAAAAATAATGGGGTGGGGGAAAGGGTGAAAGCCATTCCATTTTTTGTCAGACTCATAGCTGAATATGCTTTCAATAAAATGCAAAGCCTTGAACACACAAGTGCAAGTACAATGACATGTGAGGACCTGAAATATACATGAAGCACCTGTAAGACATGAGTCAGCTGACGGCTTCTGGATGACAAGTAGAAAGCAGGTTTTAAAATGTCTGAAAATTGCAGCTTCAGCGCTTTTGCAACACCTGCTTTTATGATCGGTCACGTGAACCAATAGGCACAACTGAGCAGCACTACCAGGGCCACACAACCATTCACAGACTGGCAAACACCAACCAGCCTTGTAAACACATCTTAAAGCAAGAGCCGGCCAGCCGACAGAGGCCTCCACCTGATTTCTTCCTGAAGGCCAAAGCTTAACCTAGCAGGTGGTGGGCAAGGAGCCTGCCCAACATAAAGGCTAACCACCTTCTGCTCTCCTTAGCCTTAATCTTACCAGAGTGTCATCCTAGGGAACAGGGTTTGTTGCCACAGAACCCCATGCCCCTCCCACCCCGAGGGAGGGCCAGGTCACCTCCTCCTTCAGAGACCCTGAAGACTCAATGGCTTCCCTCTTGAGTTTTCTGGGACACGTGATTGGGGACACAAACTCACTATCGATCGATCCTTGAGCATATTTCTCGAGCCCTGCCCCGCTTGGATCTCATCGCTTCCCAGGGAAGCACTGAACGCCACCAATCTTGGATGACAATCGTTCAAGTCGCGCTAAGGAGAGCGGATCCCGGCCGGCCGGCGACTGGCAGCTCTTACCCATTTGTCCAAGGGGACCTGGGCGAGGGACCCGGTGCCCTGGTACAGGTCCAGGCTGAGCTGCTCCAGACTCAGCTTCTCCTGCAGGAAGTGACCCAGGTACCTCTGCAGGAGGTACCGACAGGCCCTCTTCTTGATGGACTCTGAAAACGGCCAAGGCATGATGAGCGTGGCCGGCTGGGCCGGCTGGAGCGGCGGGCGGCAGCGGCTCTGGCCTCCGGCCCAGGCTCGGGCTCCGGCGGGCGGCGGCGGCGATGGGGCCTAAGCCCGGGACGGCCACTCCATGCTCACCCGGCGCCCGGCGTCCCTCAGGGCGACCCCATCGCGGCTCGCTCTAGCCCTGCCGGGGACCGGCGCGAGGAGTCCCCGACGCCCCAGGCGCGGGGACTTCCAGGGGGTCCTACTGGGCTCGCGGAGAGCGCGCTGAAGAGCGCGAGGGGAGGTGGCAGGGCCTGAGGCCAGGGCTGAGACAGACACCTCCACAGCCGCCGCGCGACGAAATTTGTTGTCATCCGCGGGGCGCGCTCCCGCTTCGGGGACGCCCCGTGCGCGCTCGCGAGACCAGACTCCGGCGCGCGGCCGGGCGCAGACGGAAGTGACGCCACATTGGAGTCGACGGAGGCGGGAGAAGGACCCGGAAGGGAGCAGTTCCGGCCCCGAGGGGCGGGGCGAGGGCGGGGCGGGGCGGGGGCGGTGCCGCGAGTCGAGCCAGACGCCTCGGGCGGGAGTGCCAGCCGGACGCAGGGCGCGCGCAGGTGAGCTGGCCCGGGGCGGGCGGGCGGCTGAGCGGGCCTCGAGGGCTGGTGAGCGAGCGGTGGCGCGCCTGAGGTGGACGCGGCGCACGGGCCGGGCCGTGAGGGGCGACCGTAGGGAGGAAGGCTCCCGGGGCTGGGATGGAGATGGGTCTGGGGGCTGGTCTGGCCTGCGCGGTCCGGATCACCGGCGACCCCGGAAACCGGCGCTCGGGGGAACATGCGCGCGGGGCTGCGGCGTGCCTGGCTGGAGCATTCCGGGCCCCCTCCGGGGAGCGGCCCGAGCCCATTGTCAGCAAGTTATGGGCCCCCAGCCCCTGGCAGGTATTGTTCCCGAGCTGCCGGGTCGGCACTGTTGGTGCATCCTTGGGACCTGGCAACTTGAGTTTCCGAGGCTTTGGCGGGCAGAAGCGCTTCCGCCGGTCTCTGCCAGAGCCTTCTGATCCCCTAGAAATGTGAGCGAACTACTTGCGCTGTACTGGGCATCTGCGCCATCGGATATCTGCCTTGGAGCGGGCAACTCTTGCAGCAAGGAGCCGGCTCTTAACTTAGTGCCCCTCCCCCCGCCACCCCCCACCCCCCACAAAGGTCCTGCTGGCCGGGAAACTAGAGGTCCTGGGTTAGAATCCTGCCACTGACACCTGAGAACCTCGCCGCTTGAAACCGGCCGCTGCCCTCTCAGCCTTTGCCAAGTGTGAGCGGATTCGTGAGACCTTATCACTGAGGATGGTTAAAAGCTTAAAAAAGGAGTAGGGAGTGAGACTCAGCAGAGCCCTGGTGCCCTGGTACCCCGGTGCATGCAGTTAAATAAAAGCTAGTAAATTAAGGCGATCACATTTATGGGTGATGTCATTTATGGGTTGATAACTAATTAGTCTGGAAATACTCAGCCCAGAAATGTTGACAGAGTGGAAAAAGACCCAGTTCCCCTTACCGCTTTCATTTTAGAACACGTGCACTCCAGTCTAGGTAGATAGTTGCTTGGGTTGCTGTTGCTCATCGGTCTTTGTAGACTTGGCCCAAGCATTCTCAGAAACTTCCTTTTCATTCTTTCAGAAATGCCTATAGGTCCATTAAATGAAGGGCTCCACGATTGGGGATATGAAATACTTGAGGAAGAATTAGGTGGAACCTTCTGGGAACTTAAATTCTAGTGTGAAAGGTGCATTTCTTTATTCACTAAACATTGATTACCACCTATGTGCCAGAGGTGCATCCATGAGGATGTAGCAAGAGATAGTGTAAATCCCTGCCCTCATGGACCTTACATTTTATTAAAGGTGAGGGGGAACAAGCAGTAATCAACGCACATGGCTTCCGTGGTGAGTGCTATGGCATGAAAGTGCATTAAGGAAATGGCGGGGGGCGAGATCTGCCATTTTGTAGAAAGGGATAAAGGAAGTCCTCTGGGTGACATTTTAGTAGACTTGGAGCAAGTGACCACATGGCACTTGAATGGCTGGAAGAATTATTTTCCAGGCAAGTGGACAGAAAGTGAACACTCTCTGACAAGAGCATGCCTGGTGAATTCAAGGAACGTGAGGAAGAAGGAAACCAGAAGCAGGAGATCCAGGAGTTGTCCTGCAGGGTCCTGTAGGCCACTTTGGCTTTTGCTCTGGATGGATGCGTGTGTTTGATGCATCTGGGTTTTTACAGGCTTATGCTAACTGCTAGGTTGAGAAGAGATTTGGGTGGTAGGGCAAAGGTGAAAACAGCAATAGGAAGATGCTGCAATAATCCAGGCAAAAGATAACTGATTTGGACCAGAGAGGGAGCAGAGAGATGGTAAAGCAGATGTTGGCTTGTATTTGAAGCCATGACCACACACTTGTGAATACTACAACTTGCCATTACAGGCGTATAAGCAAAAGCAGTGTGAAAAGGTGGGATCTCATCTGGGACAGAGTAAATTGGGAAATTTGCACTGTACTTTTGACAGATGGGTTCAGTCTATTTTTTTTTTTTTAAGATTATTTATTCATACAGAACTGGGGTACAGGCCAGAGATACGGAGGGTGAGAGGATTCACCATGGACAGAGTGAGGAGCCGAACAGGCAGATCGACGAAGTACACTGCTGAGGGCAGCAGCGGGCGGGTCAAAAGAGGTCTGCCACGCCGTGTGGTCACCTCTGGGGCAGGCGGGAATCGAACTCATGCGGAAGTGGCGTAAGCTTCTTAGTGCTGTGCTTTAACCCGCTGTGCCACCAGGGAGGGCCATGGGTTCAGTCTATTTTTTTTTTTTTTTTTTGCATGTTAAATGTCAAATGATTTCATTTGGCATGGGGATTGCATTGAGACTGCCCGTGGAAAGTCTGAAATTCCAAATATCAGGGAAGGAAAATAAAAGCTGGAAGATTTTATAACATAGTCCCTTCAACATGTTAAGTGTGTTGTCTTCTTGCATGTTTATATTTTCTAGAAGAAGCTGGTAAAGTTTAGGGGCTGTCATACTTTTAGCTCAAGTAATGTGTGAGCTCATCCAGATCAGTGTTATTGTTGTGTTTCATCAAAGATAGCCTTAACACACAAAGGTAACACTTAGCATCAGTTGAGAAAGGTGAGGATAATTACCAGTCAAATGTTGTCAACTTCTTTAAAACTCTGTAAAAAGATTTGAAGTGACAGGTTAGAAGCTGAACAGCAGACGCTGCACATGTCAAAATAATCATCGTTCAAAGAAATCCATGTTAACATGTGAAATAAGTCAGTGACTCATGATTGACCTTTTTTTAAGATTTACACCTGAGCTCACAGGAACATGTGGTTGGCTCTCTTGTCACACGGATCTCGGAGAAGCACAAAGCAGCAGCCACAGCCCGTCAGCACCACCTTGCACAGTGCTGCGAACTGGAGTCACACAGCTGAGTTTCAACATCAACTCTTCTTTTAAAATAGTTTTAAATATTTCACACTTAATATGTAATAATTTGCAGGAATTTTTCTTGAGCTTACTGTGTGCCTGGCACCTTGCTAAACATTCTCAGTCTACCTTTTAGATGCGACTTGTCGCTTATTTTAGAGTAGGAACGCTGTAACTAGAGTAACTAAAAGAGGCCTCCGGGTCCCAGAGTGTTAGCTTAGTGGCAGAGCTGAGACCCTTGCCCAGTCTGTTTCAAGAGCCTTTTACTGCCACGCCACTACTTATTAAGTGGGCTACTACTTATTAATATGGACAGTATTTTCCAAATTGTGTTGTAGAGTATAAGTAAAAGAGCGAGTTCTACCCCTCAACTGACTGTTGCAATGTCAAAGTCAAACATTCTATCAGAGTAACAGTTTGAAAACTGTACACTGCTTTTGCAAACTCCAAGTGTCTTGTCATACTCCATACATGACTGTCCTCTGCCTGTTCTCCTGTTGGCAGAGACAGCAGATTTCTACAAACTTTTCCAGCTCTTTGATGCTTTATTTATGATGGAATAAAACAAAGTCTGCTAAATTAAGACGTAGAAAGTAAGAACTTAGTGATCAATATCCTGATGGCCACATTCATGAGTCCACCCAAAACGGATAACATAGTCGGAAAATTATAGCAACAGGTGGAGGTAGAGCTAGTTCTCAAATAATTTATGTTTGCTATTATACGGAACCATTAACCAGAAAATGAAAGACCAGGATGAGACAGCCGGGCATTTGTTTGGAATAAAAGAACTGCAGTTCAGGACACACACCTCCCCGTGGAAGCCTCAGGTGTGCCCTGAGGAGTAAGGTGAGGGGCTTGTAAGTGGAAAAGCAGCAGCAGCTGGCTGAGTGATTCGAAAAAAGAATGAATTATTGTTGACAGGCTTAACCTGTTTGTGGCTATACGTCATAGGTTTCCACATCTTTCCTCTGGCGAAAGTACACATCAGCCGTCTGGACTCAAGAAGCCTCTTCTCCTCTTGGGTTACTTTGCAGTTTCTGCGAGAATAGCTGCTTGGCCCAGTACAAGCAACAGTTTTCCACCACGACCCAGCTTTTAAATGGTTTGACATAGGTGTGATTGCCACATTTCTCCCTCTTAATCAAGATCTTTTTGTTTAATATGTGCTGGGTTTTTGTTCCCATGTTGTAGAACCCATCAGAAGACTCATTCCCAGTGGGTTAGCCCACACTGAGGGAAGCAGTTTCTTTGCGGGCCATCAGGTCACCTTCGGGCAACAAAAGTGTGACATTCAGGTTCGTTTCAGGCAGGCATCTTTTCTGTTTTCTTGACGCTCCTTCCTTGGGTGACATTTCACAAACCTTCGTAGTCTTTTCAGAGCTCTGAGAGGCCATTTTTCCAGTATGTTCTGATAACGAAAAGTTCAGCAAAGACAGTTTTAGAATAATAAAAATTCTCACAGCAGGGAGAACAGTACCACCTCTCTGGTGGCACAGCGGCTTCAAACACGCCCTGTGAAGCTGGCTGCAGACAGTGCAGCACGAGTTCCATCTCCGGCCAGGGAGCTGACCCACAGGGCGCGGCAGACTTCTGATCTGCCCACTGCTTCCCTCAGCAGTGTATTTCAGTCAGTCTGCCTGTTCTGCTCCCCACTCTGTCTCTTTTTAAGATTTATTTAGAAATCTTTTAAAAAAAAAAATTCTCACAGCAAGTAAAAGGCTGCGTCCAAAATGCAGAATAGCTCTGAACCAGGAAGCAGCGCCCCAGAACAGCTGGTTAAAGAGGTGAAAGAACAACGGGCGTCAGTGGCACCGCCCTGAAGCACGCAGCCAGTGTCTGGGTTTTGTCTACTTATGTTCGCCTCCCCAGAGGTGTCTGCCTAAGTACAACTAGAGGTATTTTTTGGGAACACTGCCTGTTCAGCCAGAAATAAGAAAGAGCCGTGCTCTCACCCAGGTAATATACACAAAGAAAATATGCCCTCTCATACAAATGTTGGGTTGTGTATTCACCCCATGCACTGCCTACCCAAGAAAAAACTTTTTTCTAAGCCTGGCAATGTCATTGGGTTGACACCAGCAGGTAATGAGCACCATGGGGAAAATGCTTGTAATCTGTTTCATGCTTTAGTCTGTGATG